TGCCAGCTGTACAACCAATTTTCCCGACTTCGTTAGGGTCTCGCTCCACTACACTAGACTCACGAAAAAATTCATGAGTGCTTCTAGAGCTGTCAGAGGTCTGAAACTCTTGAAAAAAGAAGCATCGCGCCACTTACTCCAGAGTCAAGAACAATAGAAGCACTCACGAATTTCTCAGCGCTACATGACAGCCCCTCTATCGCGCTAGATGACAGCGCCAGCTCGTTCTGATGGTCGGGGCAGGCGGCACACTCGCAAAAAAAGAGGCCAGAGCGGGGGTAGGAGGGAGGACGCTAGAAAACCTGAGCGTTTCAGGCTGTGAACTCTATACAGCTCGAGAGTGCCCTTCGAGAGCACTTTCTGACAGCCCTTGAAGGGTGTTGTCATAAGTTCCAGTCTAGAGTAAGTGGAGCGAGGCGTTACTCTCGAAACTTCGCGAATCTAGAGTAGTGGAGCCAGGCCCCGAGTAAAGCGATGAAAATCTCTATAAAACTGATTAGTGGAGAGCAGTGGAGCAACACCCTGCAAAACCTGTTACTTGCGGCCTGGCTCCAATACTCACCAAATGCGCAAGATGCCAACGAATCTTCTGCCAGAACATGGAAAGCTACACCGCCATATTTCTTGTCTTCTGTGCAAATGGTCAGTAGTGCAGCGAGGCCCTTGGAGTGTGCTCCCCTCTCCTCAAATGATGGGTCCAAATTTGTAGATTAGAGGGGTTTCCCGCTTATATGCTTTCAGCGGTTCTCCACCTCTAGTCTGGGGCAGACAAATTGATGATGACGCGGTGTCTGCCACTGCTGTCACCGTGCCTTCTTCTGGTCTCATGAATTGGAGCGCCCATGGGCCTCGCTCCACTAGTGACCGCATGCACAAAAGACAAAGACATGGCAGTGTATCTTCCCATGTTCTAGCGGAAGATTTCTTCTCATTTTTAACGTTTGGAGAGTAGTGGGGCGAGGCCCTTTGGATAGTCTGAATTGTGGAGTTAGTGGGACAACCTTTTTTTTATTTTTATTTTTTTTATTTTTAGTAGAGTCTGACAACTATACAAACACCATATATATCTGGAGATAGTAAATGTCCCAGAACGTTTACCATGTTGGATCCGACCCAACGGTTTTGTCCATCAAACCGTCCACATACCTCTCGAATGTGGAGTAGTTGAGCCAGGTGCAACTGACATTATGCTCTGCTGTAATGGTCTTGCCTCTTGGGGCCACACTCCTCTGCAAAACATTCTGAATCCATCTGGATATGGTAAATGTCCCAGAACTTTAACCATGTTGGATCCATCCCAATGCTTTTGGTCCATCAAACAGTCCACATACCTCTCCAGTGTCGAGTAGTCGAGCCAGGTGCAACTAACATTATGATCTGTATCACAGAAACTGACAAAAGGCAGATTACGTGCGTCTATCAAAGCATTGGACACCTGTGCACCCTCAGCCCGATCGCAATTGCCATCAATTCAATGTTTCTTGGACAAAATTGAAAAGAATGGATGCCTAAAAAGTATTGCATATAGTTTTTCATATCTTCATCCATCTTACAATCTAGCTAGTTGGTTTGCTTATATTTGTATTATTTTTACTACGATGGCTCTTATGGGTGGCTTTGCAATGATAGACAGTAATCAAGTTACTATATTAGTAAATGAAGCAGAAGAAGGAAATCCTGGTTTAAGGAGTTACTCTAGCTATCAAGATATACCTAAAGTGATGGGAGGCATGGGTGTCGTGTTCGTGGAGGGAGTGTTGTAGGACTGTGGAGTTTTTCTCCCCACCAATTTAGGTGGCTATTAGAATATAGATAGGTGCTTGATTGGGGAGCGTGGGCTATTTCCCCCCCCTCCCTGGTCCTTAATTAGATAGAACAATTAGGAAGGATTATCCAGCGGCCTAGCTCAGTTGGTAAGGCACGCAAATGGCATTCAGGAGGTCTTGGGTTCAATCCCCAGTGGCCTCATGTACCTTCCTGGGCGAGCTTGACCCCCGCCACCTAGAAATAGGCCGTTGGTCCCCCCCAGTGGCAATGAGCAGAGACTGCTGATGTTCATAGGGGTAGGGGACCCGAAGGCAGGCACAGCGACTGGCCCATCATAGAAGCTCAGTCCTGATGCTACCGGCTGACCTCTGCCATAGCAAGTATCGCACCTGCTGGTGGGTGCAGCTCCCGCATATTGCTGCTTTGGGGTTCCCTTGTAATAATACTATAATGACAATAAAAAGGGCCTGAAGGGCCGTCCTGTCCAGATTGGACAGGTAATTGAATTGGTTGGGCTTAAAAGAATTAGCTTTCAATATTTAAAAAAAAATAAAAAAAATTGGAAGGAGGGCTTATTAGTAGTAATTTGCCGTGGCAAAGGGTGGGTGTTTGGGGGCATTTTTCGTTTGTGAGGCTTTTTGGCCGAAAAGGAGATTTTGTTTCAGGGGTTTTCCTTTTGGCTTGTGTTCGGCTTTTTTTTTTTTTTTTAAGTAAGCCTTTGTTTATTAAAATGATGAGCAAGGGAGGCCGGGGACCTCACAATTCTACCCGGAAACCGACACAAGTTTTTGACGCTGCCAGACCAACCTGGCAGACCAACCTGGCAAATGACACTGCGAACAATAGCCTGGCCAGACCAACCTGGCAGACAAAACAAAACCGCATGACCCCACTCGAGCTCCCGCTTAGAAGGCGGCCCCCTTTGACCCTAATTCGGATCCAGGGCCTATCTACCAAACCTTAAGGCATGCAGAGCTACCGAGTGGCAGGTAGGACCAGCCTTATGTTCATGCCCGGCATTCCTACCCTTTACAGGACAGGCATGCCTTCTATTCCAAAGGAGCATGCCAATTCGTCCAAAAGGATCGTGCCTGTTATCTGTGTCCCAGACACACAAGGGTCTCTAGTCCTGGGCTTCGACATGGGAGACAGAAGCGTGGGAATGGCTTCCTTCCCGACAGAGGTACCACCGAACAATGATTTGATCCTGGACTGCGTCAAAGGGCTGCTGAAAAACAGATTCCCGTGCCGCATTGTGTTCGGCTTTTGAGGCCCTGCGGGCTTTTCTTCTTTCCCAGGAATGAGACGTGTCAGGGCAGCGGTCAAGATTTGGCCATTCTGCTACAAGACCCCAGTGTCCCAATGCCTGCACCCCCCGCTACAAGACCCCACCTGGGTAATGATCCAGTATTTTGTTTCTTTTCTCTAGGTTGTTTTTTGAGGGTCTTCCTGCCTCCCCCCTCTTTGTGTGGTAATAAAGCGAGCTGAGATTCCTTGTAAAAAAAAACGAAAACTGCCAGAAAATGGCTGGTGCACTGAAACAGCACATCGGAAGACTCATGGCTCATGGACATTCTGCTCCGCATCAGAAGTGTGTGGTCCCCCCCCACAACCCTTCTCCAGCAAAGAGAATCGAACAGATGGCAACCCAAACGGAGGGTTACTGGGGAAACCTCCTCAAGGGGATCAAGTAATTATGTTCGTGTAGGGCAGATGCACACCATCCTCCCCCAAACAGAACGCGCCCACGTCGTAAACATATACAAGCAATCTTTCCGGTCCATAACAGTCATGATAAGGGTGCGTATTGTAGGGGTGGATAGGGGGAAGACGGTAGTTCCCGGGGAGTTTCTCAAAAAGCACAGCGTTGATGGGATTTAAATTAGCCACCCCTCAAGAGTTAAGAGGGGTCTCGAGACATCAAAACATAGCCTTCAAACAACGTTCCAGGGAAAGACCGGCTTTAACGACGACGCCTCAGAGCCTATGGGCCTCGCTCCACTGGGCTGTGAGGGAAACGCCTAGAGAAGCAGAGAACAAATGTCTGGTGCTGATGAGGGGGCTCAAACAGTCTACGAGGAGCATATGGGCCTTCACTCCACTACTCTCCAAAATGTGCAAAATGAGACCCGACTCCTCCGCTAGAACATCGAAAATGTCCTTCGGGACATCCGTTTAAATTGGAACGATACAGAGAAGATTAGCATGGCCCCTGCGCAAGGATGACACGCATAAATCGAGAAATGGTCCAGAAAAAAAAAAAAAAAAAAAAAAAAAAAGAACATCGAAAGATGCATCCTTGAAAGAAAAAGGAAAAAAAAAGATGCATCCGACGTATTTTGTCTTTTGTGCATGTAGAGAGTAGTGGAGCAAGGCCGTATGACTGAGAGAATTGGAAGAACTGGAAAAGAGGGGAAGGAAAAGGACAATCAAAACAAGCTCTGCCCAGAGACATATCAGCGAGGACCAAGAGGGAAAGGGAGAAGGAGAAGACATCGGAGGAGGAGGAGGGGCCGGCAGCGGAGAGATGGGAGAAGGAGGACGAGGAGAAAAAGGAGACGGCGAGTACAAAAGAAAGGAGAGGAGTAACGGGAGCCCAGAGAAGTAGACGTATGAGGAGAAAAGCAGCAGCAGCAGCAGCGGTAGCACCACTAGCAGCAGCATTGGTATTTGGAGGGGAAGAGACAAGAAAGGCTGAGGAGGAGGAGGAGGAGGAGGAGGAGGAGGGGGGGTGGAAGGAGAGAGAGAGAGCAAGGAGGAGAGGAAGAGAAAAGGAAGAGGGAGGAGGACGAGACGAAAACGAGAGGAGAGGACAAGGAACGAGGGAGAGAGAGGAGGCAAGTGAGAACGAGAAAAAGAACGGGGAGGAGGAGAAACATAGGAGAAGAAAAGGAGGCATGGCTACTTTCGAAATACGCCCCAGATGCAAAACAGGGATATCGAACGGGCAAAGTTTACCAATCGCTCACTTTCATGAGCACTTTAGAACTGCATATATTTCTAAGCTAAAGAATTTCCATTTTGCTCCGGGATACAGATTGATGAAGATAGCGGCGTCAGGTTTTGGAAATCGGAAGGTCTTGCCAATGTAGAGAGCCCCACAAGAACCCTCCTCCACATGCTACACGAGCAGATGACAATGTCCATATATGAAAGCACACGAGCTTATGGCTGCTACAAAGGGAGCGCTGGGAAAAAAAAAGATAAAATGACCGAACTAATATACGACAGTAGATGCTCTAACAATCAACCTTGTCTACCAACCGCCTGTCCCTTATGCAGACTAAGATATTATCCTCCTGCCCACATCTCGCCTGAACTGCCTCTCTCTCTCTCTCTCTCTCTCTCTCTCTCTCTCTCTCTCTCTCTCTCTCTCTCTCATGCCCACATCTCGCCTGAACTGCCCAACCTCTCTCTCTCTCTCTCTCTCTCTCTCTCTCTCTCTCNCACACACACACACACACACACACACACACACACACACACACACACACACACACACACACACAACACGCGCGTGCGCGCACGCACAGACGCACCCAATCTTTCACGGCACTTCTCGTTACTACGGATACTAGCTCAACTACCATGGCCACGTTGGGACCACCACTATTACTACTATTCAAGACTCTCCGATCGGCACATTCGAATAGCTGGCGCATTGTCCTTCCCTACTAATCCGAGCTGGCGGATTGTCCTGCTCTACCAATCAGAGAGGGTACACTAAGCGACGCATAGCAGTCTACGCATGGCCTCGATTGAGATGGGGTATCAGTCTATTGGCCCGATAAATTCCCTACCAGGAGGCTAAGAAAACTAGAACTAAAAATATGTTGCTACAACGAATGATGCATGCAGTATGTTTGCGCAATCAGGCGACAATTCATTAACGGAATAACGAAGTCTTGCCCATCCTCCTTTTTATAGAAACCCATGGGGTGAGGTATCCAACCATCCATCTACTACTAACCCAACCACGCAGTAGATAGATCATACCATTTTCCACACTCTTCCAGTACAATGCGGCAAACGAGCCAACAAAGAAACTCCTGTCATGCATCCACGTGAGCTGTTGTTCTTCGCTTCCCGCCACTTTATCGAACCCGCCAATCAAAGGCTGCTGATGAGCTTCCCGCCACTTTTTCGAACCCGCCAATCAAAGGCTGCTGTTGAGCTTCCCGCCAACAATCCAAGCTGAAACAACGGCTATATTTACTTCGCCATCTAGCTCATGGATCGGTCAAAACCGCCTACACACTCCCAACACCACCAACCTACACACTCCCAACACCACCAACCTCACAACCAAGAGGAATCCTACACACAATCCACACCCCTCGAAACGATCATGCCAAAATGGCCAAAGCGAAAAGTCCGGTGCCTCCATGGCAGGCACTCTCTCCTCTCCTCTCCTCTCCTCCGAAAGGCAATTTTTGTTTTCCGCATTACGAAGCCGTAAACAGCTCTGTCGATCCGGATAGCATGCCGTCCGGGTGCGCAGACGTCTCCACGCTGCAAAAGACAATGGAAAAGACCATCACGCGGAGAGAGTGATACCACCACATTCGTCCATCCCACCGTCCACTAGCATCCCCTACAAGCCCGTGAAGACTACATAGAAAATCTATAATAGCAGTTCATCTTCCTTAACATCCCATAAAACCTGCTGGTGGGTGCAGCTCCCGCATGTTAAGGAAGATGAACCTTTGCCATCGACACAGGCATCATCCGCAGCTCCGTCTTACGCTTCTCGTTCTCCACCTCCTTCCCTCTCTCACCTTCTCCCATCCCATTGCAAGTACTCTCTCAAGAAAATCAACCCGCTATGTGTCCATCGCTGCTACTTTGCCCCACTTGCCGAAAAGTTTGCTCGTTCTCGTTCAATCACAACGAGTTTGCTCAGCCCACCCTCCTGCTCTCCCCAACCTCTTTCGGTAAGGCCAGCAGGAACGCTGCGCGCCATTTCCTCTTGCAGTTTTTTATTTATTTTCCTACAATCTTCACCAGCAGATTCTCACATACATATATGTATATATTCTCCCAATATATATATATATATATATTGTCACACTGTGAATCAGAGGGCGAATATCACTCCCCATACTCTCCGTTCTCCGCACTGGGATTCCTTCTCTCTCTCTCTGCAACACGACGGCGTAGATCAGGACGGTATGCAATTTACTAAATTACGTCGGTGGAGGAGGAGGAGCAGTGGGAGTACTTTCAGGTGGGCCTCGATTCAAACCCTGCTCCATCCAGGCATTTAATGCCGCTTCCCTGCCACATAGGCGCGGGGTGACACTGCCCGACTTGTCTTCCCCGCCCTCCTCTGCTCCTTCGTTTGGCAACGACGCGGGGAATCTGTCCCCAGGAGTCTCTCCGACAAACCTAGGGCTCTCAGGTGCACACCCTGCACCATCGCGGCCATCACCTCTTTCCTCCGCCACCACAGGCGCACCAGAAGCAGGCTTTCCCGCCGTGCCGTGATTATCTGCGGCAGACGCCCAATCTGCTGCTGCCAGGGGCTGAGCGAGTCCCCTGGGACTCTCCGCACTCAACTCTGCCACATTGCCATCACTTCCCCTGAGCACGGGACTGTCGGCCGGAGACTCCCCGCCCGAACTCGCAGGTGCGGCGGGTGCACTACCTTCTGTCATTCGTCCTACTCCGCCAGCTCCTCCTGCTGCCGCATTTCCTCCTCGCGCTCTGGGACTGCCACGTTGATCTATAGATAAGCCCCTCTTCAGAAGGCCAGGCTCCAGGATGTCAGGGTTGCTCCCATCCGCGTCGAGATTTGCGAAGTCGCTCAGAGGGGGTATACCTCTCTGATCTATCGACAAACCCCTTTCTAGCGGAGGTAAGCCCCAATGATCGATGGACAGGCCCCTTTCTAACGGCCGCGTCTCCGCTGACGGAGTGTCGAGCCCAATCTCCTCCGTCTTCAACTTCTCTTCGCCCGCGCTTTCTCCCGTCTCAACCTGAAGCATCATCTTCTTCTCCCCCTTCCTCCGATCCGAGACGCTGCTGCTAAGGTCTCTGCCGTTGCCGCGGTTCGATCCCTCTCCCTCTGCTTTCTCTCTTCCGGTGCTCGCCTCCGCTAACTCGGGCTGCTGCTCCGAGTTACGCCGACCTCGGCCATTATTGGAATCATGACTGGCAGACGGCGACAAAGACGATGCAGCGGGATCGCCGCCGACGCTCGACGGGATACCGCCGATATCCTCGCGACCGACGCCGCTGCTCGTGTCGAACTGATCTGCACAGCTCAAGATGGACGCTAATCGCCTTACCCCTAAATGGACGCTCTCTGAGGTCGGCATCATCTCGATCGGCAGAGGGGGGCAGCAATTAGGTTGAAACTCGGGCTTTCCAGAAAAGGCACGGTGAAGGCCGAAGACGGCCCGGCAGAAGACGAAGCGGACGATAAATTGCCTCAAGAAGGGATCCGAGAGGACTCGCGCCCACGCCACTTCCAGTCCGGGCATAGAAGCCAGACACGCTCCCCACCCTGCCAGCAGCGACGACAGCTGGCGTTCTGCCGTCTCGTATACGCTGGCACTCTCGGCGATCAGTCCCTGGCGCCCCACAAGCCGACCAAATGCAAGCAAAGGAGCCGTCAAGAAGTAGGTGAACAAATTGCCCCCCCCGCCTCCTACTTGGGAGGCGGCAGCGCCCGTCTTCTCGTCACCGGCGCCCCCGGCGGGCTGCACCTGCGGGGAAAGGAGGAGGGCGGCAGGTTCCCCCCTCTCCTCCCCGCTGATACTCTCGAACGCCCAACTCATGTCGCTGTCTATGATAAGAAAGAGGGGTTTTCTTGTGAACGGGAGCAGATCGGCCGGGTACAGGAAGCTCTCCCAGGGCGCGCGGATCCCGCTCTTAGCGCCCTCAACTCCTCCCCCGCCCCCTCCTGCACCCCCTCCATCTCCTCTCTTCCCTTCGCGGTCCCTACCCACTTCCCTCCTCGATCCGAGCCAAAGGCCATTCACCTGCTCGCAGCCGCGCCCCTTCAAGCCCCCGATGCCATCCAAGCTGATGCTCCGAGCCGGGACTCGGAGTGACGAGTGCGCCGCCTCACCGCCTCCGCCCTCTCCTCCCGCGTCCCTAGCGCCGTGCTGACCTGATCCCCGCAGCAGCGCGCCTGCCGCCGCATAGTCTCTGCTCCTCCCGACGATCTGACCTGTCTCCTGGGAATGGCCAAAGGTAGAAGGAGAGGAAGAAGAGGAGGAAGGCAGCTCTTGCGAGCTCGATCCCGGCTGAACAAGCGGTGCATGCTGTTGAGTTAAGGCGGACCCTTGCAGTGACCCCCCCAGAGAGGAGATATATAAGAGGAGAGCAGAGTCCGGAGGCAGGTCTTCGCACGCCGTTGCCAGCACGACCAATAGCTGTGAGACACTGGGCCGATAGAGCAGATGCTTGTGTGGGTTTGATGGAAGACTTGGATCCACGATGTTCTCCTCCATGCCGCCGACTCGGCTGGGGGTAGCTCCCCCTCCACCTCCTCCTCCTCCTCCTCCTCCTCCTCCTCCACCGCCTCCACCCTTGCTGACCCCGCCTCTCGTGCTGCCGCTACTGCCGCTGCTTCCACCGCTGCTTTCGAAAAAGTTCAACTTCAGGAAAGCTCCGCTTGGCTCCCATTCTATGGCCTGAAGCATGCGGAACGTGTCTAGCGTCATCTCGCTGAATTTCACCTCGTTGTGATAGTAGCTCGTGAGCACTGCTTCCTGCAGTTTCAGCGGCTTGGCGGCCCCCAGCCGAGGGATGTGCGACAGCAACGACGGGGTAGGATCCAGCACAATGCTGTACCTGAGCGGCCGCACGCCCTCGCAAGCGGCATCGGCCTTCATGAACCGCACGATCTCCTGCACCATCAATCGCCATTCCTTGGCGTCGCCTGCCTGGAAGGTCCTTCCGTACTCCTCCACCAGAGCCTTCAACTGCTTGAGCAATTGCCGCACCACGTCCCGGCGATTCAGCAAGAGGCACACCACGATAAAGCGCGCCAAATAACGCAACTGTTTGTTCGCAAGGGCAATCTCCTTGGCGCTATCCTTGAAGTACTCCCGCGTCAGAATGGCCTCGTAGAAGATGAAAGACTCGTACAAGAACACGGCCTCGCTCTTCCGGAGGTAGTAGTTGTAATACAGCTGCCCTACTCGCGATGCGATCTCGCCGATTTCCCATCTTTTCAATCCCGTCTCCACCAGCTTCGAACGGTTATCCTGCTGGAATTTCCACAGCTTCGAATAAACCTGGAACGCCTTTTTAAAATACAAATCCCACTTGTTGCGCCCGTAAGGGGGCAACTCCCTCAATCTCGCAAACTTTTGATATGCCTTATCCACCAGGCAACGGTACTCTTCGCTTACGTTACCTGCGACGGCCGTGGGTGGAGGTGCCATCGTGGCCGCCGTCTAGTTCTTCACATCACACACAGTGATTGGCGCACCCTGGGGAGACGAGAAAAGAAGACGCAACTCTGCACGCCCTGGGCTCAGAGGTTGCGCATCAACGTCAATTGCACGCTCCCTCCCTTCGCACGCACCTCCTCATCAAATCCACGCCACCTACTGATGAAGAAGAAGACCCAAGAGCACAGAATCAGACAGAACAGTGCTTCTCTGCTCGGCCTCTGTCCCAGATCGATTCGATGGCCGAGAGCCAAACCAACCACAAAAAGTTCCAAAGCAGCTGTGGCGTCGACGACTATGCATACCCCCCCTGCTGCATTCCGTCCCGCCTCACACGCCCTCCCGGCCCGCACTTTCTGTCTCTCTCTCTCCCACTCGCATCGAGCAGAAATGATCTGCCGGCATGAGAGCGAGCGCGTACAGCACAGAAAACCGCCCTGCCGAGGACTGGACTAAATGGCTGAGGTTAGGGCATCAGAAAGGAGCGAGACAGGTAAACAGACTTAACAAGCGCCGTAAAAACGAACAACAAGACAAAGCGACCACAAAGGGCATGCTGTACATAAGGGATCGATACGAGACATGCTGGGAACATATGTCTTACATAGGGCATCGCCACACCACTCTCGAAATAAGCAAAATGGGAATGAACTTMCCGCTAGAACATGGCCAGATGCGCCCGCCACATTTTTGTCCCTTTCACATTTCGTCAGCGGTGTGGCGATGTCCTTACATAGTAAGTCATAAACACACACACACACACACACACACACACACACACACAGCGTGGGATGCCTCGGTAGGCTGCCTCGTCGCCCCGAGCAGTTGCCGATATTAACGGGAGTGAAGGAGATGCCAGTAACACGTCAGAGCTCTCAAACGGCCCCTGGACGACGCACGGAACCCAGAGGACACTCACCACCTTCGCAGCGCCCACGCCCGTAAAACCAAGGACAAGGACGAGAAGCGCCTCGGGTACGTCAGTCAAGTGATAGTAATGGGATGAGCTGGGAGCCCAACGCGGATGCCCCTACCGCTCCGCGATATTGAAAACTGGACCGGTAGCACACGCACCCGGACGAACTGCTACTCGTACATTCACTAACAAAGCGCTGCAATAGGGGGTATTTTCGGGAGCCGAAGAAGAGAAGGCACTGATGATCCTCATGAGGGGTCACGGACGTTCGATGATGACGACGTTCGGCAGAACCCCTGCCGAGCTGGCCACCCCCTAAGGCCCGTTCTCACCGGCCGGTTCTATGTCCGTTCTAATTGAAGAAATTGAAGAAATTGAAGAAATTGAAGAAATGAAGAGATTGAAGAAAGCACGAAGCAGTTAGCAATTCGGGTGAATAAACAGGCGGTACGTAGCACCATTGGGATCTATGGGATCCGACGCTACCACAGGAGATGCGCGACCTCGTGGACATTATTGGTTACTGGTTCAACGCCATGATGGGAACGGCCTCGCGCTGGGGCGTGTGAAAAAAAAAGTGTGAACGCCCACCAGCCTATTTGCGGTAACTGTTGATATAGGGAGCTGGAGTTCAAAACCCGCTGAAAATAACGTCCCGGAATATCCCCTTGCGAGATCAGGACTTCAAATCCTATTTGTGGTAATGGGTCGAAGGTTTAAATATTTGACACTGCAATTTGACATGGATACCAGAGGGGGTTGATCAATGCACCATGGTCTCATTCTGGGCTGGTGTGGAGATATCTCGAAGCCTCGGTCTGCTAGAGTGGGTCATGTGAGGGCATCTGGCCAAGCAGTGATGGTGCGATTATCTGCAGGCCTCTTGAATCCAGGTACGCAGGCCTCTTGAATCCAGGTACGAGTAGTCCGGGTACGAGTAGTCCGGGTACGAGTAGTGGTGGTGTAGTCACACGAGGGCCTCGTTGCAGTGGGTCCAGTGAAGTGCTACAGTCAACTTTCGCCCAGTCACATCTAGGTCTGGGATGGATCGGTGCGAGATCATCTGCAAGATGGATGACCAACCCTGATTGTGGGTCCATGAGGTTGGTGAGTAGGTGAGTTGGGACCTGTGGATGGGGCACCGATGATGGTGATTGCAAGGGACTCTGTAGTAGGGGTGAAAGGTGGCATAGTGGACGTCGCACTTGGGGCCACGTGCAGCAAGGGGTTCTAATTATCAAACGTTGATGGCTGTTTGGTTATATGAACCTCAACAAATTTGATTTCCATACCATATAGATTTAGATGTTTTGAATCAAACCACCAGTACCTTTCACAACTTAGAAATCTGAGTCCCACCGGGTAACGCGGTGGGGTCGTCCAACAAAAGCCCGGTCGTAGTTGAAGGACCGGGATGAAAATGAAAACGAAAAAACAAAAAAACAAAAAACTATTCATACGGAAGGAAAAAAAAACATGAAGAGATCGAATAGGTATGTAATGCGCCAGGGAGGGAGGGAGGGAGGGCAGGAAGGAGGGAGGGGGAGAGAGAGAGAGTATGAATCTTATGGCCTAAACGGGAAAGATTCGTTCGTATTTCCAAAGTATAGAACGCCTGGGTAGAGAGAGAGAGAGAGAGAGAGAGAGAGAGAGAGAGAGAGAGAGAGAGAAAAAAAAAAAAAAA